CAGCTTTTGTCTTCTCCAGATGTTAACTGATGGACTGGAGTGCTGTGGATTACTTGTGGATTATTGTGATGTTTTTATCAGCTGTTTGGACTCTCATTCTGACGGCACCCATTCACTGCAGAGCATCCATTGCTGAGACACTGATGCAATGCTACACTTCTCCAAATCTGATGAAGAAACACACTCATCCTAATCTTAAACTTGAAATATTGTCTTAAGTGCACAATATCTAATGCACGTGACCAACGAGACCGTGTTATGACTGACGTGTTATGAACTTCAGTGACTGTCACCATCTAACATATGCCAGATGCTCAGGCTAGAATTTGTCCTCACTAACCTTCATTCATTTACATATTTCCCAGCATCCTCGGCCAGTCACTCACACAAGCCTCAGAAACCAGTGTTTTTTGCTGGGTAAATAAACAGCCTTGTGTCACGACCCCATCAGGGTGACAAAGGTCATGAAGGTCACACACCTCAAACCTGATTTACCTTTAACAAAACATCTTATTCAAGCTACTAGGGAGATTTTCTCTAATAATCTACTAATTGACAAAGGCTGTGGATGTCGTATAACTAGTTCTGAACATCTGACAGTGGAAAGCATGTTTTGTTTTGTTTTCACAGGTGTTTGACCTTGATGACTTTATTAAATCAGAATAAACTCAGGCCTGTTTCAGACATTCTGTGTCTGCAGTGCATATTATGGCACTGATATGAATATGCATCAACGATATGCGTTTTTAAGATGCACGACTTTTGTCTTGCATGCAAAACCAAATGTTTCTGTTTGTTGATGACATATAGCAGGGTTTCCCAAAGTGGGGTTTGTGAGTTGATGAAAAGCTAATAATCAACTAAATCATAAAAAAAGCTAAATTAAATTGAATAAATAATTTTATAGTGCACTTACGAAAAAAGGTGAAATATTTTATTTGTTTAATTGCATGTCATGTGATAATATGTCTACATCAGAGTATCATAAACATGCAAATGTGTTGTTAAATTATTGAATTATTGACTTAAGATCTCTTTAACAAAATATTTTAGCTCAAAGGGCTTGGCCTACAAGTTTGGAGTCCCTGGCATATAGAAATACTATATTCACACACACACACACACACACACACACACACATATCTGCTCTAATTTATTCTACAAATCAGGTTCTTAAATTATTCTTATTCCTAAATAAAACCAATTTTTTTTTAATTGTTACTTGAGATAAAAAAAAGGTTAACTTAAAATAAAAAACATTATTATTATGATTATTATGATTATTATTATATTAAACTAAAATAAAACTATTATTATTATTATTAAGTAACATTAAATTAAATTAAAGCAAAATTATTATTATTATAAATAATATTACACTAAAGTAAAACAAAATTATTATTAATAACTAGCTGAAATAACAGCTAGTTGCCAAGGAAACATTTCTCATTTTTATTTAGTTTAAAGTACTAAAATAAGTGAAACTAGAACTGAAATAAATAGTGATAAAAAAGATATACATAGACATTTGAAAAACAAAAATGACTAAAACTGATAAAAATTACTAAAAGAAACTAAAATGACTAAATGTACTACTTTAATTACTAAAAGAAAAACAAAAAATATTTGTAAAAATAAAAACCAATTCAAAATATTTATGAAAACGATATTTGTATATCAATGAAACTAAAATAACTCTGCCATAAAAGTGTCTAATAACTGGGGGTTACTGAGATAAAGTGAGTAGTATTTAGGTAAAACTTTATTTTAAGTTATCTTTGATACACAGGTTACATGCACTTACTATTATAATAACAATTAATTATGCATATTTACATGCAAGTAACTCTAAGCCAAACCCTAATCCTAACCCTAACCATATAGTAAGTACATGTAGTTTATTAATATTACTCAGTACTTAAATGTGTAATTACACTGTAACAAGGACACCTTAAAATAAAGCGTAACCAGTATTTTTCTTGTCGCTAAAGGGAAACATGGAAGTGTTCAGTGACAGGTGTGTGTCCATCTGCAGATGCTCTCATTCCAGCGGATCACACAGTGAGGGTCACAGCGGGAGACACAGCTGTATAACTGCATGCAGACTTGTTTTTCCACTGGTCAGACACCCAAACGCATGCATTTGCTCCAGGACTGACGTGCACGTTTATTTGATGTCTCAGCAGCTTCCCTGCTCGAGTCCTGCAGTGATGACATTCAAATCAATGATCGCAATTATTCTGGAACTTTTTCTGACAAACAGATGGAGGATCCAGCGTGAAGCCACTCAATGGGAGGCACACAAACATCTCTGGGGCAAAACAAGTACATGAACACAGACTGTAAAGATGTGGTAAATCACGGTAAATGTCCTGATAGGCTCTGACATGCTGCCGCCAAACCGCTGTGTGGAAGTGTGACCCCGTGACCTTTGTTAAACACAAAAACCATTCAATGTCTCTTCACATCAACTAACTAATTAATGATCATTCATGCAACTGCAATTAAAGGAATAGTTCTGCCAAAAATTAGAATTTGCTGAAAATGTTCTCACCGTCAGGCCACCCGAGATACAGATGAGTTTGTTTCTTCGTCAGCTTTGGAGAAATGTAGCATTTCATCACTTGCTCTGCAGTGAATGGGTGCCGTCAGAATGAGAGTCCAAACAGCTGATAAAAACATCACAATAATCCACACCGCTCCAGTCCATCGCTGTTTTTTGGGGTGAACTATTTCTTTAAGGACACTGTTGCATAACAAACTGGATGCAAATCTGTCAGCTGGGTATCACATATATAACAGAAGTGGTTATTTAGGACAAAAGGGACAATCTGCAATGGTCATTAAGTTGGTGTATTGCTGGATTCATGACTCGTGGGAAACTAAACTCTCTGTGCAAAACTACCCGTGACTGATTTCCACCACAGAAACCACAAGAGAAGGGAGGCATAGTTATACATTAGTTATTAAGACATTAGTTTTGCATGCATTTCACAGATTTGATGCCAATAAATCTAGTGACTAGTCCTTCGTCTAAACAGTGCATAAACCTAGTATTTTCAGCTGGTCTTGCCATTGGTAATTGAAATATTCATTCACAAGAACAAAGCAACTGTTCACAGAAGCCATTCTCAAGAAAATAATTAAAGCTTAAAATCCATGCAAAACTGATCAGATATTGTTTCTAGTCTGGCAGTTGTTTATTAAGTGCATTAGGTTTGTTTAACAGTGCCATCTATTGGCACTGCATCTCAGAGTGCATGTGCACCTGATAAATGCATTTCAGATTTTTCCTGTAAATTCTTAGATAACTTTTTTTTTTAAATCACGTTTTCAAATGAATATTTATTAACATTAGCTCAATTTTCCAGAGGAGATCAATAAAGCTGTTTATCTCATCTTCAGAAGTATTACAAATTTTAAGATGAATTGACAAAAATACAGACATTCGGGCAAATATTAACTGCGGGTATTTTCACTCAGAAATTAGTAGTACGTTTCACAATTAATTACAATGAAATGTCAAGTAACAGAACTAAACAAGACATTTTTAAGTAGAAAAACGTATTTTCTTGTAAAACAACCAAAAAAAAATCTTATTTTTTTGTGCATTTTATTCCTGTTAAATTACTACAAAATACGTGTTTAGTAATCTTAGTGTCTACATTCACATTTGTATTAACCTTACATTTATTCACGCAATTTTTACAAAGCTGTGGTCTTTCTGAATTTCAGTTCTGATTCATTAAACCCCTGTCTGTCGGTGATCTATATGTGACCCTGGAGCACAAAACCAGTCATAAGGGTCAATTTTTTAAAATTAATAAGAATAAATAAGCTTTCCATTGATGTATGGTTTGTTATTATAGAACAATATTTGGCCGAGATACAACTATTTGAAAATCTGGAATCTGAGGGTGCAAAACAAATCTAAATATTGAGAAAATCATCTTTAAAGTTGTCCAAATGAAGTTCTTAGCAATGCATATTACTAATCAAAAATTAAGTTTTGATATATTTACGGTAGGAAATTTACAAAATGATCTTTACTTAATATCCTTATGATTTTCGGCATAATTTTGACCCATACTATGTATTGTTGGCTATTGCTATAAATATACCCCAGAGACTTAACACTGTTTTTGTGCTGCAGGCTCACATATGAAGTTGTGTGAATGGATGACATTAACATTAACACATTCACACTTCAACAAAAGCATTTCACCCGTCGGGGGTCTGATGAGATGAAAAGGGCGGGTCAGGATCCTCCCTCCGGTCCAAATGTCCCGCTCCGCAGTCTCTCTATCCACACAGAACCAGATGAACCCTGAAACAAACATGTTCTCCTGCCAGAGCTTCATCTTCAGCCTCACGCTGCTCGCCGCTGGATTTAACCTCCTGAGCTCAGCAGGTGAGTCATAAACTCTTCACATCTCATCAGACTAGACAAAAGATGAAGAACTAGTCACTTTGAGACACTTGCTTCTCCTCTGTCACTGTCAGTTTTTCATTATTTAACCCTCATAGGTTGTGTTCTGGTCTCTTCTTTTTCCTGAAAATGCTAGTCGAAGTTATCGCATTGGACTAAAACTCACACAGGATATAACAACTTGCTAAAAAATTCTTGATAACTTTTGTATATTTTGGGACGTTTTCC